GAAGACAACATTTTCTTTTTTTTATCAGTCACGGTGTCCCAAACTGCCATCCTTTTATAAGACTCACGAATAAATCGTGCACATTGGTTAATAATAGCAAATAACGAAATTGCTTCAACGGAAATGCTGGTCGTGTCACCAAATTAAGTACATGTGCGTAACACCAAACATGCACTTGGCCATTAAAATTTTTCTCCATATATGCCGAAAAACCCTTATACTGGCCTTGCATAATTGAGGCACCATCGGTAGCAGAACCAATACAATTTTTCATATCAATGCCATTTTTAACAAGTAATTCCGTTACAATTTGGTATAAGTTGGCACCTGTACTAGAGGTACAATTTATGATTCCAAACAATCTCTCTTTTACATCTTCCGAAACATATCTTACAATAACACTCAGCTGATCATGAACATTGATATCTTGATTTGAATCAATTTGGATAGAGAACATTCCAGCCTTATTGATTTCTTCAGAAACCTTCTTTTTTATTAACGAAGATACTGACTCTATGATATAATTGACGGTAGTTTTCAATAAAAATGTATTGATCGATCCAGAACGGCCAGGTCGATTTTTGTCAGTTTTCTTAAGGTGTGCTTTACGGCTTAGTTCTATCGATTTATCGATGTGGACTTTGAGTATAGGATCGAATTTAGAAATTAACAAAAGAACCTCCGAAAAATTACCGTGGTCAGCACAGGTATCATCCAAAGTATAGGCAGCTTCAGCCTCCTTTGCACCTCTGAAGCTTTGACCTCGTTTTCGTAAAGTTTTAACCGTTTCAACAATCCGTTTTAAGATGTCCCTCCGTTCATTAATTTCTTGTGATTTTTTAGAGGTATCGGTGCACAAGCTATATATATCTTTCATTTTACTTTGCAATAAAAAGGATTCTGCTGATGCTTGATGAGCAATCGATTTTTCGTGCTTTCTTATTCGGTCATATATTCTGTGAGGATCAATTTTAGAGCCTTCCGTGAATGAATTCGGTTCTTTGTTAAAGGCTAAGCAGAATGAGCAGAAAAAATTATTACTCTGTTCGCAAAATGAGATCCACTGTCTTCTGATTTTTTTGGTGTCAAGGTCTTCTCGAAAATAGGCCAAACTTGGGTTGAATTTAACTTTATCAGTAGGTTGTATTGGATGAATTTTGAAAAAAGAATATTAGTCATTTTTAAATGGCCTTTTAAAATTCTCAACGATACCACATTCTCGATTTTCATTTTCAGTAATTTCCAAAGTATTTTTATTTTCAATCGATGCTAGCGACTGCTCGACTGTCTAGAAGTTTGTTATTAAAAGAAGATAAAAATAAATAAAGCAAAAAAGAAATGTTACCAGAAAAAATTGTGAGGCACCATCAGTGTCCGATATATTTATATCGCATAGAGTGCCGTGGTCACATGCTTCAAATTCTGTATTTTTTTCACATTCTACAAAAGTAGAAGTAGAGGTAGAGGGGATTGCTGGGTCTTTAGCGTTATCATCAACTCTATCCGTATTATGGTCTGTTTTCTATAAAAAATAATTTCATATGTGAAACAAAATACGTACACGTACACGTAAACCACTGACTAATATTTTGCACAACCAGAAGTTTATTACCTTTTTTTGTTATTTTTTTCTACAACGGTACATTTTGAATAAGTAATATTTTTTTGCGTTGTAGATTAAGTGTTTAATAATGTTAAGATAATAATTACATCAATTCAATATGGAACGAATATAATACATAAAGATTATAATAATATAAAATTAACAATAAAAAGTCACTTTTACCTTAATAGCTTTGAACAAATCTCCGATGTTATGACACTGTGCCGCTTCATTTTCCCTTTTCTTCCTTTTTCTTTCTCGTTCTTTTTCAGCTCCACCTTTTACACGTTTATTCATTTTTTTTTAATTTTCCTTATAACGCAGCCAGAGTAATACACCGATACGATACAAGTTTTACCATACAACAATAAAAAAATAAAAAACCATGTCGATATTATAAATAGGTAACTTTACTTAAAAGTATTGTCTCTGCTTAAAATATCAACTTTAAATGATACGTAATTTTGTCTGTAGGGGGCCACTTGGTTTTTATTACCAGTTGTACTAAATTGTAGTGAATATTTAAAAAAGTATATTTTATAAATAGTTGTACCTTTAGTACACATCAAGATTTGCACATTCAATATTTAAACAAAATAAAACACAAAAATTGTAGGTTTTTTTACACACGCGCGTTTGTAGCCAGAGGGCTGTAGCGCCATCTTTTACCGAAATTACATACTTTAAAAAGTCATCTCAAAAACAGTAAACTGTTTACTGTGCCTTTATTTGGAAATAAATCATAAAATAAATTCACAGAAACTTTTATGATCTATGGTAAAAGTTATCAAAACCTAAGGATAATTCATAGATGAGAAAACTTCTTCTGGAGAAGTTTTTCCCTTTTAATTTTATAAAGCATTCATATTATATTATATTACGGCCTTGGCGGCCCATCCGGGCAGCGGCCCTGGGGGCTTTGCCCCCTAGCCCCCCGGCCCAATCCGGGCCTGATAATGATGAGCTGTTTGGCCCAACGAAAACTAAACAAAGGTTTTGCATGTATACATATAGTAAGCAGTAATTTAAAAAAAAAGAAAAAACACGTCTAGTTTAGTTTCAAGAGGGACATCTTTTTCAATAGATTTTACTTGCAAATAGGGTGTAAACCATTCGCGTTTCTGTTTTGTTTTCGTTGGGCCACCCTGTGTATATATTAATTTAGTGGGCATTATAAAAATTATAACCCTGCTATTTAAATAGCCCTAATTAGGCAAGCATTTAAAATTAAAAAATTGGGGTATTTATATTGACCGCTGCGTTAAAATGCAATGGCACCGTTTAAGATTAAAATCTCATCGTTCAAATTAACACAAAATCAATAAACCCTATACAATAACAATAAACCGAGTTCGTTTACACAAATATGTAGGTTTATCCGTCTACACTATTGAAATGTGTTTGGTCAACAAAAACGCAGAAATATCTGGATGTACGCTATGAATCAATCAGCAAATAGTCCTTCGTCCTGCCGAGCAGGACCAGCAGGGGGGAAAATGAAAAAAGGGGACGAAAATGCGTAGTTCATCCCATTTGTATCCGGAAAACGCCGTTGATGCACAACAATACACCTTTATGACGTAACGAGAATATTTTACTTACTTCCCCACAAAATCAACAAAAGTTACCATAAAATGTTCTAAAAACATTTATTATATCTATAGATTTATAAAACATAGATATTAAAAAAAAAATCGTTTATTTAACATTTTTAACAATATCTCTTATAAAACCACCCCTAATTCCATAAAAATCATGGCGTATTGGCAACTCTGGATGCACATAGAAATGAAAATCGATAAACGTGATCTACGCATGACGTGCCGTCCGACGTTGCCGTTCCGCCGGTCGATCGGGGGTTGAATTTCCCAGCGTGGAAATTCCTCCACATGGAGTTCTCTTTCTTAATGAAATTTGTTGCACGATAAGCATTGAATGCGAATAAAGCTGCCGGAAAATGGAATGAATGCATTACAAAAATTGCAGTGTCTGAGGTATATACGTATTAAGATTAGTTTGTTTCACTCAAAGGTCAAAATATTGATTTAAATATCGCGAAAAAAATTCACTTAAAGCCTCAGCTCTAAATCTTACTTCTAACTAATTTAATTTTGATTTTAAAGTTTTCCCATTTACCTAAATAATTTATTTTTTAATTTTCTATATGTTCTTATTATAATACTAAGAGTGATTTGTGGTTAATTAGATGCTCTTTTAAAGTATACTGGCAGCAATTTTTACGTTAACTCGTATGTTTTACGGCAAAACGGTTTATATTAAATGTAAAAATAGGAAATACTTTTATAGGAAATATAAAATAATTTCCTACAAAAAACGTCCTATACATTAATTTAATAGCATAAAATGCATAGTTTAAAAGATATAGAGCATTTAATAAATTTTACTGTAGAATTACTTTATCAATATTTTACAGTAAAATTTATTAAATGCTCCATATCTTTTACACTATAAATTCTATTGCATTAATACATCTAATATTTTTTGTATGAAATTGAATTTTCTATAAAACTTTCTAATTTCTGTCCTTAAGTTTAACCGTTTTGCCGTAGTCTTATGTTGTTTTCAATATTTGATAGTAAAATTTATTGAAAGCTCTATATCTTTTAAACTAAGTATATATTTTATTGCATTAATGCATTTAACCTTCCTTGTAGGAAACTTAATTTCCCATAAAAAGATTTACTAACTTTTTACATGTAACTTTAACCGTTTTGACGTAAAATACCAAAAATAGTTTTTATTAAAAATATTACTTTGGTGGCGTATACAGGTCCAAATATATGAGTTGCAGTAAAATTGATGTACTATTAAAGAACATTGAATTTTCTAAAAATAGAACCTATGTAAATTGTAGTAGCAAATAGCGGCCAAGTTATAGGAAATTTAAACAAAATCCTAAATTTCTTTTATTTCACTGGAAAAATTCTAAAATCAAAATTCTTGGGAGTAAGATTAAGGGCTAAAATTTTTTTTTTCTCGAAAATGTTTATAATTATGTAGATATTCAATTTTTAAAGTTTTACATTAAAATTATTATTTTGGTAATGTAATCTGAAAAAGTGTTTAAAACAAACACAATTGTAAATATGTACCATTTCCCTAAACCCCCCGAAAAAAGAGAGACTTGCCAACGCAGCACCCCAGTGGTGCGGGGCGCACATTTTCTCAAACTTACTACAAACAGTTCATTACCCTTCGCGAACGAAAACAAACAAAATTCGGACCTTCGAGAACCAATTTCAAAGATAATCAAATCAAAAAACGGTGAAAACCCGAGAAAATCGTAAAGTGATAGATGTGCATTTTCCTGCAGCCGCCTCCTGCACTGTCCGGTGCACCGCGTACCAAAACTTGCTTCCGAAGACGCTGAAAACAACAGTTTCTACACTAAACGTCAACGCGGAAGCAGACCGCTTGGCGCTTGTGAATGAAAATATCACTGCCGAAATCATAAAGACATTTATTGAGTGTATAGTGTGGTGAAAACAGCAGGACTTAAAATGGTAAGAGATGAAAGTAGTTTTTATATTTTTAATTAAAACTTTATCGAAAAAGACTACTTTAATTAAAGAAATTGATTAATATCGAAAGGGTACTCTTGGTGAAAAATAATATTCCTGCAGGAAATTCTATTTAAAATAGTATTCCTACTTTTATTAAAAATATAATAAAAGTTAATTGAGTTAATATGTAGTTTAAAAATCCACTAGAGTAAAATAAAAAAAAATTACATTATTGACAGGAAAAATTTCTATGTGTGCATGATTAAATTATTAGTACACTAAGAATAAATTCCAATAAGGCAGCATCACTAGTTGATTCATCGGTTAAGAAAAGTGATCGATAAAACCAATTTATTTTTCATTTTCCAATATTTATCCATCCAAAGAAAACGTTATTACATGGAATAATATATATTATTCGTTTTGACGCTTACTTAGTAAGGGAACAACCATAGAGATTAAAATATGCAAAGAAAAATGTTTGCGATTTCTTATATCATCATGTTGAAGACCACTCGAAGTAAATTGAATAAAATTGAAATATGTAACTACATATATGTATAAATTGATTATTAAGTCAAGTGTTGTCAGATTTTATGGGACGCTCTTCGTTAAAAATAATCGTATTCGTGCTTCTCAAGTAGAAAATATTCGTCGAAATTCTATACCAAATCCCTCTCAAGAAATTAATTTTTATTACGAATTTAATACAATTTTTATATAACATTGCTTAAAATTACAAAAAAGTTTGAACATCTTATAAATTATTTGATATTTTAAATTGTTTGAAATGAAAAGTTTATGGGTGCCATACTATATGGCAGGGTATACCTACAAATAGGTATTAATTAGGGTAGTGCGAAATATGAATATTTTTAAAATTAGAAATGCCTGTATATAGAAAACTTGTGCGTGATAAAAATAAAAATTTAATTCCTTCCATTACCCCAGACACTGCTCTCTAAAAATGAAATAGTCAAAATTCTACTATTTGAATTAGTACCAGCATTTTTTACTAATAAAATAGTCGTTTTCACTTTTAAATAGTTATTTTTTACTATGTAAATAGTTAAAGTTTGACTGATTTAAGATTAGTCACCATCTTTGACTATTTCTGAGAGTTAAAATTAACTAATTTCTTTAATCGTTTGCGGCCAACAACAAAGTATTATTTGAATTAAATGCATATATGTACCCAAGCTCCATGGTTAAATGACCCATAATATTAAATAAAGGTGCAAAAAGTTTAGCTCAAAACAGCAACACAAATAATATATTCAACTTTAAAATATTATGAACAATATTTATTGATAAAATGGATTTTTATGAGAGCGGCTGATGGCCGAATGGGTTATGACAACAGTTTGACAAGCTTGACAAGTGACAGACCTGAGTTCAATCCCCAGCTGGGTCAAAACTTTTTAAAAATTTAAATCTTTCATTCAGTAGAATTTGACTAATTATTAGTGACTGCTTTTTCGCTATGACAATTAGTCAAATATGACTTATAATTAGTTATTTTTGACTAATTTATTTTAAGACAGTGGGGCCCAGAGCTATCTTAAATAAAATATTATATTACTTAGATAAATGTTAAATATGAAATAAAAGTAACCGTTTTCTACCCTCGCGAGGGTAGAAAACGGTTACTTTTTTTTCATATTTAACATTTTTTTTTAAATTAATATGTTCAACTTTGGAAAATTTACAACATAAACAACCTAGCCAAAAAAAAATTATACTTAAAAAAAATATTAATTTTTTTTTGTTTGCCAGTGGAAGAAATATAAAAAAATAATTGTTTTGCACCAAAATGTTTATTTTTAACATCACTAACTTTTCGAAATTTAGACACTTTGATTTTCAATAAAAAAGAAACCAAATCGGCGGATCACCGCTTAATCTGAAATATGAATATATTTATATTTTAAAAATTAACTGCTTGTTTGTTTTTAAATGAAATTAACTAATTTTGTAAACGTTAATTATGCTTAAAAAACATCTTGGCTCGAAAATTTTTTTTTAACCGTTTTCCACCTTTGTCTGAATTTTTATATTTATTGACTTTGGGACAAAATGTTTTGTTTTTACAAAACACAGTAGGGTGTTTTATTTAAAACGATTATTTTTTGTTTTTTATCGAAAACCAAAGTAGTGTTCAAAAAATCGAAAAAAAATCCCTCAAAGTTTGAGCCCTTAATTTTGATTCTAAGTACTTAAGATAAGAATTTTTCTCTAACTCGATTCACCTTGATGGTATCAGCTCTGAAAGTCATTTTTTTTACTTTTTTCACATATTTTTAAAAATATTAGAAAGAAAAAGTTGTTCTCTACAAAAACAGTTCTTATGTTTATATCGCTAAAGTTCCCAGTTTACAAGATATTTAATAGTCATGGAATCGAATTTAAAACAAATTAATTTCAAGAAAACACAAATTTTTAAAAAATTTAAATATTAAACTGCTAATGTCTTCTAAACTGTGCACTTTGGCGATATAAAGGAGAGTAGTTTTTTGTAGAAAATTTAATTTTATCCAACTTAATTTTTTTAATTTTTCTCTTAATATTTTCAAAAATATGTGAAAAAAGTAAAAAAAAATTGACTTTTAGAGCTGATACATCAAGTTGAGTCAAGTTAGAGAAACATTCTTAAAGGCTCTTTTAAAAAGCTGCTTTTTAAATACTCTGCAAGTATACTAATAACTTATAACTCCTTATAACAATGAACCATAATATAATAGCTTAAAACCCGGCAAATATATAGAACTTTAAAAATTGGATTGAAAATATATGTATGATTTTTAAATGGGAACAATTCAAAATGAAAAAGGAAGTACTTAAAACCAAAATTACGGGCTCAAACTTGGAGGGAATTTTTTGAACCATATTTTGGAGTTTCGGTAAAAATAAAAAATGGAGGTTTTAAATGAAACACCTTAATACACAGGTATTCTTTAAACAGGCTTTTATAATTTAAAAAATAGTTATATTTTGCACCACTCTTGTAGGTATACCCACCGAATTGATTTAAGTGTGAGAAAACCATTAAAACTGTATGAACGATATTTAGCTCTCAACAAGCAAAGATAATACTATACTATGAGATATTCAGAAATGTTTTGTTAAGATGATGCTGCAAAAGACGCTCTGACTAAAATAAAGAAGCATGAGTAGTGCCGACATTTAAACGACAGCAAGGGAGAATAGAAAGAAACAGTGGGAAAAAAATTCAAAAATAAATATGCAGAAAGGGAGTAAAAATACGTCTGGGACAAATTTACAAACATCTACGTCTTTTGAAAACTCGGAAATAGAAGTTTGAGCTTATTTTATTATATGTGTGATATTGAAATTAAGGTCCACTTCGAATAACGATATTCAGCCCTAAGGTATTATGAAAATTTGTCAAAAAAAATATCGGTAAAAAAGTAAACTGCTTTGTTTTCTTTCAGAGCACTTAATAGATAATCTATTAATTAATTAATAGAGATTTGAAATACTTTGATTACCTTATGGTAAAAAACCTAAAGCTTCCAAAATTACTTGATTGTCCACGTCGCATTGATTAAACTAAGAAAAATTATATTACTATAGAAAATTATCTTATTATTAAAAGAAAATGTAAAGTGAAGGATTTCTGAAAGTACTAGTACTACTTTAGATGTCATAGATTAAAAAAAAACTCGTAGACAAAATAATTAAAGCTTTTATCTTTTGGTACATTCTATAAAATGTATAATGCATAGTATATATATAAAATGTATAATGTATAGTATATATATAAAATGTATAATGTATAGTATATATATACATTGTATACATTATATATTTATCTCAAAACAGGATATTTGCTGTTATGCATATGCATATTAAATAAGAAAAATAAACTAAAACTAATTCTATCTTTTTAATTTTCCATGATAACTAATTGCTTCTATATATACAGTGTACAATTAATTGATCTCCATTATTTTTTATGATTATTAATTGAAATCCTATCGACTGCGCCCATTAAACTGAATACTTTTTTATTTTAAAGCCCATTAAAAGTTACTGTTTTTTATTCATCTTGAAAATTATCATTTTATTCAAACTTTTCGCAAACATAGAACTTTTTAATAATGTATCAGTTTCCTTTAGATGAATAGAGCAGCTCCTAAATAATAAGCCAACGATATTGAAAATTTCATGTAGAAACTAATATAACTTTGACAAACTAGGATGGAAACTTCGCATGATTAATTTCATACTTGTTGACGATTATCGATTATAAAACTATTTTAAATAATTTATTAGGTCTTCTGACAAAAATCAATATCAACAAAGTAATAATTTAACGGGCAAACATAATATGACACAAGTTGGAATTGCTTTTTTTATATTCCTATTTTACAATAATAAAATATTTTTCCTTAAAAATGTGTACCTATGTATGGTGTTTAATTAGTAACTACTAAACGATAAACAGTTCTGGTAGTTTAATTTGGTGGTTTTACCACATACCTCCAAATAGAATTTAATTGACAATTTCAACAAAATGTTTAATTAAATTTTACCACACACACTGCTCTTTGGTGGCGTAACAACATTCCCGAACCTATTTAATTTCCATAAAATGAATTGCTTTAGTTACTTAATAAAATCAAATCGATATAGGCTAGCAATTTGAAGCGTGTCCGCTCTGATGTTGAAACGTCTAGAAAATCGCATTTCCATGGCCAACTAACGAACCACTAATTGTAAATTCCATTAGATGAAAACCTTTTGCTAGACCGTGTCCCGTTTCCCACAAACATTTTCCACATGTTTGCCTAAGAGATGTCGCTTGATAAATTTACAAGGGAAATCGATGGGATTACATTTGAGTGTTTGAGCTTTTTTAAAAAGAATTTGAAGGCAATGTAAGTTAATTGAATTGAAGGTAAAGAGGGCATAGTAACTTTGCATGAAAGGGTGGGTAAGTGATCTTGAAAATAATGAAGTGGCATTATCTAACAAAA